ATGCAAGCATGCGGGGCACACCGCCTTCCCGGCGCTTCTCAGCTGTCAGAGCAGCGCCCATCCGTCCCTGCAACCGCTGGGTGCACCTGACATGCCGCAACCTTGGGCAGCAAAGGCTGCCCCAAGACTCCATAGGGGCAGAGAGGACGCAGAGCTGCAGCAAAGCACCACAAGCCTACATGCCTTGAGTGAGACCAGCTCCAAAACCAGCCTGCAGCAGGCAACAAGCCCACCTTAATTCACACAACCAGCCAGCAAGCCGGGCCGCTGCCCTGTGGCCTTGGTGGGCCACCGGCATTGCCTGCCTGACGCACGCAGGTACCACAGGGCAGATGGCTGCCTGTGCCCCTGGCACCCTCCACCGGCACATCTGGAGCAGAACAGCAGGAGGGGTCTGACCAACCTCCCTTGCCACCCACTCCTGCCTCGGGCACTTTCAGGCAGCCAGGGCCCTGGGGTCTCCCGCTCTCCTGGGGCTTCCACACCCCCACACAGGGTAGGTGAAGGTAACCTTTCTTTCACGGGGTTTTTGATTCCTCCAGCCTGCCGGAGGCCAAGTGGCAGGCAGTGTGCTGGCAGCGGGGATGGCTCTGGGAGCCCCTGCCTCCCTGGTGCCTCCAGCGCTGCTGAGCACAGGAGCGGGATGGACAGGCCAGGCCAGCCAGCGCTCCTCCAGCATCCTTCAGGACCTTGCAGGGTTAAATGTGCCCCTCCACGGGCCGAAACCCCAAGAGGAGGGAGAGCCGAGCTGTGACACCAAGGGGAGCAGCAGATGGGAGGACAACCCAGAGCCCCGGAGCATCCCGGCTCTGTGGGTTTTGCAACGAGCATGCTGCTAACAAATGTATTACTGAGCAGATTACATCCCTTTGGTTCAGACCAGCCCTGTTACCTCCGCAGGCGCTTTCTGGAAGACGGCAGAGGAGCACAAACCAACCAAAAAGATTCAAAGCCTGCTCTCCTCCGAAAAGCAAGACGGGGCAAGGCAGGGCGTTACAAGGTCTCTTAGCTCAGCAGTGGCCACACGCAGGCTGTAGCTCCTGCCCTCTTCTGTTAGCCTTGCAGATGAATTTGACCATGCCCAGATGCATCTGTGGAGCCAGTACAGGGAACAGAGCCATGCCAGGGCAGAGGAGCAACAGGCTGGGCCGCCGCTGGGCACCTCTGCATCCCAGGGGACTGTGCTGACCCCCCAGCCCACCCCTGGGCCAGGCCCTGCTGTGGCACCCACAGCCGCACCAGCTGCCCCTTTCCTGGGCAACCCTCACACGCAGGAACAGGCAGCGAGCCCCAGCCCTGCCCCCAGCTGCCCCGCAGGGCTGCGGGGCCCCATCCCCACCAGAGACAAGGCAAGCTTCATGCAAGCACAGCAAAAGGAAGAAGCCTCAGCAGCTGCCACCCCCTTTCAGGGACCACTGAATTAAGCAAAAAAAGGCCTCATCCCCAAGAGATGCAGGACGCCGCTCGCTGGCTTTGCTTCCAGGCTGAATCTGTTTTTTTTTTTATTTATTGGACACCTCCAC